GGGGGCGTCAAAACTTGATTAAGCGATGACGAGAAAAACGCCCTATAAATGATTGAAGCTGTAGATACATGTGATAGGTGGTGAGGAATTTGATATGCTTTGTCATAATTTTATTTTATTCAAATTGCAGCTTTGTTTTAGTTCAAATACTAAAATTTCTAAAAAATTAGAAAAATAAAAATTTTCTAATGAGTAAATAGCAGGGACCGAAAATAATGATATTTTTTTTTAACCAAAATCCTATTTGGTACTCGGACTACCTTCAGCGGCACTGATTTTACAAAAAAAAAAAAACAAGTAGAATTTTATTTATTGCTCACAAAAGGTAATGTAATGGGAATAGTAATGGCTATGGTAATGACAATGGTTATAGTATTAGTTATTGTAATGGGAAAGATAATCGTAATTGTAATTATGTAGCTACCCCACCATCTTTCAATAGGAGATTAATGCAATAGAGAATGCCTTAAAAGAGGCACATCCTCGAAAAATATCAGGCAGCCCTACGGGCACTGAAATCCCACACAATAAGTTCTCAGCGAGTATATGATTGCTTCAATGTCCTATAAACCTCTTAGCGCCAAGAATACACTTTTATTAGAATAGTTACCGAGGGCACGAAGGAAATGATGGCAATGCGAAGGCTGACTGCCTAGCGAAACAAGGAGCTTCCCCAGTATTTCAATGATCGAAACACTTTTGTGGACTCACACATAAAGGATACAATAAATAACTGGGTAGACAAAATGTTCAACAGGCACTGGATGGAATGTCCAGGGCAGAGACAAGCAAAACGATTTGTCTGTCCTTCAAAGAAGCTTCAAAGAACCTGCATACTTAAAATTTAGGCAGATAAGACCTCAAAAATCTCACTGGGCACACTGTTTTCTGTCGCTTTTGCGAGCTGGACGACATATTTTCTGTTAATGTGTCCATTTGAAATTTGAAACAAAACGCCCTTGGAAGTGCTAACCGACATTAAAAAACCCTCCCATATAGGACGGAGGGCTTCGCACAATAGATCTATCTCTATAGAGGTTGCGGTGCATATGGCCCTTAATAATAATAATAATAATAATAATAAAGATGGTTCTATAGGGCCAACTCGATTCAAAAATCAGTCGCTTTACAATATTAACATAGAACTCAAATGTATGTATAGTCATGTGAAAAATAATAGGGACACGAAATTTTGACAAGTTTCGGCAATTTTTTTATTTTTTTTTTTGTTTAAGGTTTATTATTTTTTTTTTTGTTATAAAAAGACAGCTCACTATTTTACAAAAACAAGATCAATGCAAATTTTAAACTTTGTAGAAAAATTAGAAAAATTCAAAAAAAAAATTTTCAACAACAACAAACTTTACTAAGAATTCGTAGAAAAAATCTAAGTATAAGTTTTATAGCCCATATAATTCTAGCTTACGAAGGCAAGTTTCAAGTGTCTAAGAAATCGCTTTAATATTTGATAAATTTTTTATGTTCGAATTTTGCTTTTTGATGGAAGAAAATAATAAAAAAATTATCAAAAGTCAACGCGAATTCTTAGATACTTGAAACTTGCAGTTTCTTAAGCTAGAATTTAATGAGCTATAAAACCGCATAAGCCTTAAATAAACAAAAAAAAAAAAAAAAATCGAAACTGGTCAAAATGTCGTGTCCCTATAATTATTCACATGACTGTAGGTATGTTAAGAAGCAATTTAACTGCTTATTATCGCACCTTATACATAGTCAATAAACATTCTCTTAAATGTAGTACTTAGTAATCATTCTTCGAAGTCTTTGCGCAGTTTACTAGGAAATTCTTTCAGCCATGCTTGTGTCTATTAGTAGTAACGCCTCCACCGAAGCAAAACAATGCCTTAGAATTCCAAAATAAATTTAGCTTCTTTTCAAAGGTATAGTACCTAGTACTTGAAAGTACGACAACAGCAATCACTCGTCAGGTCAGTTTGCATCGCTCTCGGCACATATCTACTCGCTCATGTACATACATACATAGGTACTCATGCATCCATGCAAGTGGGCACTTTAGACGTAAACCTTGCAAGTGACTACATACATACATACATACATATGTATTGGAATTTGCATTCAAACAGGTTTTTGTACTTTTCGCAAATGCATTTCCAGCAGCATTTATTTGATAGAGAAGTATGGGCATATACATATATATACGTATGTATATATGCATGTATGCATATGTGCATGTATGTATGTATGTTTGTTTGCTTGAAGCATTGCATAGCCATACGTTTGTTCATTTGATATATCCCTTCAATGACCGGATATTAATGTGTACAGTGGCCTATTTGAGAGTCATATCGTTGCATCGGTGACATATGTACATCACCTGTTGAACGACAAATAATTTTTAAGCAAAAAACAAAACCGACGTCAATTCCCATACAAAAATTCAAGATTATCGTTAATTTCTTTAAGTTCGAATGATCGGATCTAAACCAGTATGGAACCACCTTTGAGGTAACACCTTTCCTTTAAAAAAAAGAATTGTAGAAATCGGTTAACGTGATGCGTTATATATTGCTGGGGGGGATAGATGTCTCCCAATCTATCACTGTGTGTGCTGAAAACCCTTGCGATATTTTGGCAAATTACGCCAGTTAGTCAAAGTTTCTAATGACGTCGTTTCCTTAGAATGTATTCGGATACTTCTCCATAACTACTTTTCCTACAAAAATCGTTGCTCGAAGCTCTCCGGTAATCGTTTATATCTTTGTGTTCTGTTGAAATTCGATTTTCAAGTATCGTACGTGAGATCTTCAAGCAAAGCACCATTTCTGTTCTTTGGGTGTTGTTGTAGCTTCTAAATAGGTCCTTTCATTTCATTCACCAGTGCAATTTTCCGGTGCATTCAGACTTTTAATTTTCAATGGTGAATCGCTAACTACAAAGCCTAATTTTTTGCAACATTTTATTATAAACTTAAAAGTAGATTTCGAAATTTAAGAGTACCTATTTGGGAGGAACATACTTTAAAATAGGATTTATATGTAATCGCAAGAATAAAGAAACCAAAATTGTATAGAAGAAAAAAGTTTACAAGTAGATAATATTTTTTAATAAGAAAATATGTTGAATTTCGATTTCAAATATTATGTATTATACGATGTACTGTTTTAACGTTATCAAGGTAGCAAGGCTATGGATAATGTTCACAATTTATGAAACCTCAGAAAATTGTATGAAACGTCAAATTTTTTTAATTAAACTACCAAGACGAATTCATATAAGGCGGTGTTGCTAGAACAGCTGTTTTAATTCGCCTAGGGACACAGATGTCAAAACTTCTTATCAGTGAGTGCGAAAGTGAGAGTGTTTCTTTCCCTTTTCCTCCTTGAGCGAAGAAGAGCAGATATTTGACATTTGTGTACCGAAAGCAAATACAAAGTACATGTAAGTTTTTCTTTTTGTACTACCACCACCACCTTATATGAATTCGCCTTGGAAACTACCTTATTTTTTGTATCTTGTTAGAAAGTTTCTAAATTATTGAATGCATCCGAGAGCGGCTTAATTTGTTGTTGTTGTACCTGCAAAATAGTGAATTCATTGACAGCAGGCCCAGAAAGCTATCCAGTCGGCAAAATTAGAAATACAGATACCTTCTTAGTACTGAC